TAAATGTGTGAACCGGTGCGCCCTACAAACTTAGCGCGTATGTTGTGGATGCTTGGCGCATTCCAGACCTGTGACTTAACTCCCCGAATGGACTGCCAGCCAGTGCGGGTGACCTTCGGGTTCCCGGCCGCCAGTGCGGGTGACCCTTGGGCTTCCGGCCACCAGTGCGGGTGACCCTCGGGCTCCCGGTCGTCAGTAACAGTGACCCTTGGGCCCCCGGTCGCCGGTGCGGGTGACCCTCGGGCTCTCGGCCGGCAGTGCGGGTGGCCCTCGGGCTCCCGGTCGTCAGTAACAGTGACCCTTGGGCCCCCGGTCGCCGGTGCGGGTGACCCTCGGGCTCCCGGTCGTCAGTAACAGTGACCCTTGGGCCCCCGATCGCCAGTGCGGGTGACCCGCGGGCTCCCGGCCGGCAGTGCGGGTGACCCTCGGGCCCCCGGCCGCCAGTGCGGGTGACCCGCGGGCCCCCGATCGCCGGTGCGGGTGACCCGCGGGCTCCCGGTCGTCAGTAACAGTGACCCTTGGGCCCCCGGCCGGCAGTGCGGGTGACCCTCGGGCCCCCGGTCGCCGGTGCGGGTGACCCTCGGGCCCCCGGCCGCCAGTGCTGCCCGGTCGGCTAGTCGCCAGGCCTCCTCTGTTTGTACACCGCGGCCCTTTTCAACGCCGCTCTGTCTCCTCAGCCATCAGGCCCGCGGAAAATCATTATAAATAGCTGACGTAGCTGAGCCCTGACCCTACACAAATACGCGCCGTCCCGTTCTAGCTGCTCTCTCGCAGGAGCGTCGCTCCGTCTCCGTCGGCCGAGCTCAATACTGGCAGATGGAGGCGCCGGTATATTTGCGTGCCGTCGCGCGTCCGTCCGGTGGGCCGGAAATAGCGGCACGGCTTCCATCGTCCTAAAACGAGCGATACGGCGACTGCAGCCGCGCGAAAATAGCGACCGGGAGGCCCGTGCCGGCTGAGCCCTCGCGTTTCCGGCACTAGGCTGATGAGCAAGGGAGGGCTGGGGCGCGGGATCGGTGTAGCCAAGGATGCCAGACCGCCCCAGCCAGGCGTTTCCGGAGTGACTGGATGTGCTGAGAAGCTGCCCGTCCGACCCGGGAGCGGTGGGGCGAGCGAAGGGCCGCTCCTGCCCTCGTTCGCCTGCCCCGCGAGGCCCGCCGGATTAGCGAGGAGGGGCCGAGTGACGGTCGAGCTTGGGCCGCTCCGTCTCATTGTCCTCGGCGGCTGCCAAAACTCCGCCCGCCGGCCCGCCCCTGTCGGGTGCGCGTGCTCGTGTCGCGGCGTTGGCGCGGCGGCCACCAATTTGCACCACCCTGTATGTCTGTCTGTCTGCATTCTGGTCGGTACGTCGGTCTGTCGGTCTGTCGATCTGTCTGTCTGGCTGTCGCTCAGGTTTGACTGTTCTGCCAGTCTGTCATTGTGTTATGCCTTTATATCGGTCCGGTGGTCTATCAGTCTGTTGGTCTGCCTGCCAAGGAACAAACGGACATATAAATACATAAATGATAATTAAAACAGCCAATCAATCGATCACTTTGTCGACGCACATGCTCGTCTTATTATTTGCGTATGTATTAATCTGGATGCTAGTGGATCTGTGCATCTGTCTCTTTGTCTGCCTGCGTATCTGATGGTCAGAAGACAACTTTTGCACAATGGAGTTCGTAAGTACATCTTGGTTTGCCGTGAAGTACCCTCACCCAATGGCAGTTACGATGCGTTTTGTAGAGACGTTATATTCTTTTTGTTAGTTGAGCGGAACGAACGGCCATAGGTCGGACTAGATGGCTGTTTTCATAGCTAATGTGTGTATTTGTGTAAAAATGTGCCTGTGTGAGAATGTTCCAAGGGGAGGACGTGCCAGCGTGGGAATGTGTCTGTGAGAGAATGTGCCAGTGTGAGAATGGGCCAGTGTGACAATGTGCCGGTGCGAGAATGTGCCAGTGTGGGAATGTGCCAGTGTGGGAATGGCTTGGTGTGAGAATGTGTCATTGTGAGAATTTACTAGTGTGAGAATGGACCAGTGTGACAATGTGCCATTATGGCGATATGCCAGTGTGACAATGTGCCAGTGTGGGAATGTGTCGGTGTGAGAATGTGCCATTGCGAGAATGTGCCAGTGTGACAATGTGTTGGGTGATGCCATGCTCGTTTATGCACTTGAAGTCATTTCAAAGTTTAGAGTGGTGATTCGCGGACATGAGAAGTCACGTATGTGGACTGTCTCGCTCCATGAATAGATTGTACTAATGTCTATACGTCCACCGTCTCTCCGTTTACATGGTTTTTATTCTGTGTGGCGGATGGTGTGCATACCCACTTACGATTCACAAATAGGCATGTTTGGACTACCACCTCATTCACCTGCTTTAGTTTGGCACATCGCATTCCCATTTATGATGATTGCTGAGCTTGATATGTTTGCAGGCCAGAGTAAAACCTTTTCCATCAGTTACAAACATGCGTGTTTCCTACAAGGTGTTGGAAAACAACGTGTAAGTATTCAGGGCTGTATTCCTACAAGGTGTGAAATGTGTATATAGTCCGGTGAACTTTAAAAGACTGAATTTTTAGCCTTTTGGGTTTTTTAAACACATTTTCTGATGCGGACTTGTCTCAAGTTTCGGGTATGTCCGTGTGGTTGATACTACTGATGGTTCTTTGACGCGCCGGATTTTCCGGTGTCTGACTGAAGCGTCGCGACGTCTGCTCCGATCGGAGTCGATTATCATCGATAATGAGGAATTATGCATCCTAAATGACGATCTTTGGCGGGGAATTTGCGGCTTTAAATCGAATGTTTTGTATATGCTTTGTATTTGCCATGTAATCGAATGTTTTGTATTTGCCATGTAATCGAATGCTTTGTATTTGCCATGTATACCATGGTACTTAAGGTCAGTTGTTGGTCTAGAATATCGTCCTTGTTATTGGCAGCGTTCAAACAAATTATGTACAGGTGAGCTGTGATCAAAAGGTGTGTGCCATTTTTGTACCGAACCGACTGTCCTCACCCGTTTTTACAAAATTTTTCGATTATTTATGTAGAAATCTGGGAGGGATTTGGATGAAGCATATGCCATAGAATATTTGGGTATGTAGACCATACACAAAACACCTTGACTTCAGAATTGTGTGGGCACAAAGAAATGATAACTAGGACAAAATGATATCACTATATTTCAGAAAGCAATCCTTCGTTGGGTAACTAAGTTTGAGACTATTATTCTAATGCTTTCTAGTAGATCGTCTTTTTGACCAGCTCTTCCATGTTATCTAAGGTTACACCCAATAAAGGATTGCCATCCGAATATAGTGACATTATTTTGGCCTATGAAGTATTTTTGCGCTTGTGGGAGTCTGTAGTCAAGATGCTTTGTGTATGATCAAGTATATATCGACTCAGGGAAGGGTTAGAACCTAGAGAAAGGGTGTGCAGACCACTGACATCACGCTGCAACCAGGGCTGGCACTCAAGTATCTTCACTCCTCTCAACAGCAGCATCTCATTTTCAGTATAGTTTTCGATATGGGTCAGTCAGCTGCGCTAATGGTCCAGTTCGATACGTGATGGACAAGAATCAGTTAGCTATACAATACAACATAACATACTGATCATCTCTAACGAAATATTTGGTCAGCGAATTTCGCACTCCTAAGTGCTATTTTAGCATCAACGAAATGTGTTTGCGAGAACATTCTGAATTTGCTCCTGCTGATTAGGGGCGTCAGTATCAGAGGATATTGCTTCTACCTAACTATACCTTGTGCAAGCTCACTCGGGCCTCCACGACGCCGCTACCCGTCCTTGCAATATCAGGAAGTACGCTTTCCTCGCACGCCCTTCGGGAAACGCCAATGCGTTGACGTTTCCCAGAAACCGTGCGAGTCGGCCGCGGCGAATCCAGCTTCTGATCTTGAAGGGAGCCAGTCTGTGAAGACGGCGTGAGTCTCTCGAAACACCAAGGCTGCACAGTACCGACAAATATTGCTATTGTTTCGCTGGCTTCTCCACTCACCTCTAATTTCTCCACTCGGATTCCGCTGCGTGGGACGAGACCGGACGCCTCTCCTTACTGAGAGCACGGGACCAAACCAAGCTGGACAGCTCTCCTTGCCGAGAGCGCGGGAGCAAACGAGACCGGACGTCTCTGCTTACTGAGAGCGCGGGACCAGACGAGACCGGACGCCTCTGCTTAGTGAGAGCACGGGACCAGACGCGACCGGACGCCTCTGCTTACTGAGAGCGCAGGACCAGACGAGACCGGACGCCTCGGCTTACTGAGAGCGCGGGACCAGACGGGACTGGACGCCTCTACTTACTGAGAGCACGGGACCAGACGAGACCGGACGCCTCGGCTTACTGAGAGCGCGGGACCGGACGAGACCGGACGCCTCTGCTTACTGAGAGCGCGGGATGGAGAGGCAACTGCCTAGTGCAGGCCGACGAGTTGGTATGCACTTTGGAAGGCGAGAGAGCAGTGCTTCAGCCCATTTCGCAAGCAGTCACTTGGCAGCACATAGCTCAAACCGTGATCACTGATCTGTGACCACCATTAGTGGGGAAAAATTGTGAGTACGTTTGGCATGAGGAAAAACACCGCTAAATCTTAGTAAGCATGGCCATATCTTAAGATGCCGGTGCATTTCACACGATTCAACATAATGTCTGATTTACCGTAATGACAAGCATGACGACTGGGGGGGGGAGGGGGGGGGGGGGAGGTAGGGTTCGAACAGTATGTCGCATTTGCAAGGGTTTCAAATGCATGCAGACCTGACTACGTACAAATGTGCGTCTGCCTGTATGTATCAATGCTTTGTTGCATAGGTGCGTGGGGATACACCCAGCCCTGTGTATTTCTGGATGCGTTTGATGAGAGTGGATGCCGATGTGTCTCCTGTGTGTGCGCGGGCTTGGCTGACAAACCAGGCCAGCTGACTGCTGACCTGACCGCCGTCTGACCTGACCGCTGACCGCCGTCTGTGTGATCCGACAGGCTTCACGCGCTACCTGCTGTCGGCCGAGTGCGACGTGTTCAGCTCGCGACACCGCAAGGTCTGCCAGGAGATGACGCACCCACTCACCCACTACTTCATCTCGTGCTCCCACAACACGTACCTGATGCAGGACCAGCTGCGCGGCCCGTCCAGCGTTGAGGGCTACATCCGAGCGCTGAACAACGGCTGCCGCTGCGTCAAGGGTGAGTGGCGGTGCGTGGAGGACCGGCTGCTCGGCCCCGACGGTCCTCCGGCTGGGTCCCGCCGCTCTCCCAGCTGGGTCCCGCCGCTTCCCCGTCTGGGTCCCGCTGCTCCCCCGGCTGGGTCCCACCGCTCCCCATCTGGGTCCCGCCGCTCTCCCAGCTGGGTCTCACCGCTCCATCGGCTGGGCCCGCGGCGCTCCCCAACCGGGTCCCGCCGCTCCCCAGCTGGGTCCCGCCGCTCCCCAGCTGGGTCCCTCCGCTCCCCCAGCTGGGTCCCGCCGCTTCCCAGCTGGGTCCCTCCGCTCCCCCAGCTGGGTCACGCCGCTCCCCCGGCTCGGCCCCGCCCCTGCTCCCCGGCTGGCTCGACCCCGCCGCTCCCCCGGCCCCGAAGGCCGGTCGGCTTCGGCCGTACCAGGACGGATGCGGTGTGCCAGGCATCGTGTTTGTCGGTGATAATTGGTGAGCTGCAGCTGCAGCCCTTGCCACATACGCTACGCCCTGATGGACCGGACCTTTTTCCACATTCGCCACCACGGCCTATCGTCAAGCTGCCGTCTCCAATACCCCTATATGGGGGCTTTGTGGAAGCTTTGCATATGGGACCTATGGGAGCTTTGTGTGCCTAGCTGCAGGAGGGACGGCATCCTGTCCAGCACACAAAGCTCCTATTCTTCAGGGGCTTAAAAAGCTTTCTTCTATGGATGGTGGCGAAAAACAAGCGCTTGCTGGGCAACGCACCTTCAGACAGAAGAGCGCAGCGCGCTCCGAAGTGCAGAGCATTGTCCCACCATTTGATGCGCGGTGTATCCGGCTCGGTGCTGATGCGGGATCTGCTGGGCGACATTTGCGTCCTTTTCGGTGCAGGCTAGACACGCAGCGAACAAATAACGTGATCGCACTTATCCCTCCCTGTCACGTCCGAGATGCGTTGGCTCACTGATAACACTGCAATGCACGCTGGCTAATCTCCCGCTCGATTCGACTCGATTTCCCCAGTCGCGGTGCTGTTATCATCAGTCGCATTAGATGCAACTGCCTGTCGCGTGCTGTATCCCGGCCTGATGGGGTCACGTGCCCAGGCTGATAGGGTACCGTGCTCTCGATTCCCCAGCGACATTAGCCGCCTCGTTGGCCACCTGGGATAATGCGATTTCCCTGGCGCAGAGGAGTTCTAATCACGCGTTAATGCTCGCGACTCTCCACGGCTTCTTGCCGTCATCGTAGCAGGCACCACGTAAACAAGCGGTTACTGCGATAAAAAGGCAAGCATGTGTTCTGTCTTGTTTTGTGGGGCAAATGTCCCGTTATGCTGGACGTTTGGGGTGTTCTGTCGAGTGGAAAATTCCAGCAAGGCTTTTTCGCGTGCTCAGCCAGCCGTGGCGTGAAGCGCGTCTCTCCGGGTGGGAAGTGCAGCAGTGGCTGTGGTGTGTGCCAGCGGCGGCTGCGGCGCGCCGCGCGGCCGCTCAGCGCCACTCGCTGTGGAGAGGACCGATCGATGCGGCGGCGGCGGGGGCCGTGACCTAGCCCGCCCGCTCACCGGCGCCGCGCCGCCAGCGAATGGCCGCCGCCGATAGTGGCCCCCGGCGGCGTGGTGCAAATGGGCGGACGGATGTCGAGATGCATGCGAGCCACCGCTCAGGACCGTCACGCATCGGCACGCGGCGGGCGCAGCCGGCAACCCCCCGTCGTCACGCACCTATGAGGAGGCATCCGCCTACACCCACGCGCAGGAAGACCACCGGTCGTCACGGCATCTGCAGCGAGGCCCATCCGTGAACACGCTCATGCAGGGAGACTCCCGCCGTCAACACTCTCATACAGCGAGACTCCCGCCGTCAACACGTTCATACAGCGAGACTCCCGCCGTCAACACGCTCATACAGCGAGACTCCCCCATCAACACGCTCATACAACGTCATATACCCGTCAACACGCTCATACAACGTCAACACGCGAGACTCCCGCCGTCACCACACTCATACAGAGGAACTCCCGCCGTCAACACGCTTATATAGCGAGACGCCCACCGACAACACGCTCTTCTAGCGGGACACCCGCCGTCAACACGCTCATACAGCGAGACTCCCGCCGTCAACACGCTCATACAGCGAGACTCCCGCCGTCAACACGCTCATACAATGGGACTCCCGCCGTCAACACGCTCATACAGCGGGACTCCCGCCGTCAACACGCTTATAAAGCGAGACTCCCGCCGACAACACGCTCATATAGCGAGACGCCGGCCCATCAACACGCTCATACAGCGGGACTCCCGCCGTCAACACGCTTATATAGCGAGACTCCCGCCGACAACACGCTCATACAGGGAGACGCCCGCCGTCAACACGCTCATACAGCGAGACTCCCGCCGTCAACACGCTCATACAGGGACACCGCCGGTCAACACGCTCATACAGAGAGACTGCACTCAAACGCGCGCCCGCAGAGCCCCTCCCCCTCTAACGCTCAGCTACAGGTAGGTAACACCTCAACACGTAGCTACAGCGCGCTCTCACCGCGCCACTGTCATCGATGAGCGTGGTTGCCATCTCCGGGCAGCAAAAGCACTCCTATCGAGCACTGCTTGAGCTAGTTCCCCAAGCGTCTGTACGCGGGCGCCGTGGTGCGGAAGCTCAGACGGGAGAGGTGGTAGAACATTTCCATTTCCGCCACGCATTTGTTGTTTATCACTCTGATATTTCATTTATCACGCGGTGCTATTCCGTGTCCTGAAGTGGAATTGGATGGATGCTGGTGATGGCATACATGGACGCTTCGCGTAGTTGCAATGTTTTATGAATGTCATTTCTGCATCAACATGAAACGCATCAACAGTCAGCGCGGACGTTTCTGTGGTCTGAATTTGAATGCGCCTATTTACGTTTATATCTATTTAGTAAGGGAATTATTCTTCATTTCAAGATAGACATGACAAAACAGAAGCATCACAAGATACGATGAAATAAGCTCACTTAATACTGTTTGAATGCGCCACTGTACATTGCACAGCATTGATGGTGAGGCAATTGCCGGCTGTTATGCCTGTAAATCGTGCTGATGAACGCCAGATATGAACGAGTCGACAATTATATTTATCTTGGCCTTGATCGCCGCATGGCTAATGGAATGGCAGGATTTGAATGACGTTATTATGGTGGCATGGATGTCTGGCTGACCATGAAATAGTTTCCAGAAATAGTCTGCACATCTTCACGTCGTGTAGCTCAGAAACTAGAAGGGTTTAGACTTTAAGAAGGGCTGGGATGTGAACCGAACCGAATGATCTTCAAGATGGCTTTTTCAATTAAAACCCCATACAAATGTGGAGCCCTCCCTTGAACGCCTTTTCTCGTTTTGCTGTGTCCTGAGACCAGCAGATGAAGATAGTCATAACGTTGGCGTCGCAAAGAAGCATCGTTGGGAATGCCGTAATGTTATGCATGGGTGACCCCGTTATCAGCATTTGTATGCGACGCGCAGTGCCTCTCGAATTCTGCTTGCGCATACGAAATCCAACTGGCTGCATTTGGGTATTGTTTGCAGCATTTTGGCCAGTCCGGGTGCCTCTTGAGCTTGTTACGTGCATTTGTGGATGATTGGGGCCATTTTTCCAGCTGGCCTGTCAGCGCTCTCGCCCTGCTTCAGAAACGGCCTATGCCTGGTGTGGAGAATCGTTCAGAGCGCGTGCTACCAGGCTACCGCCATGAATAACAATGGGGATGCTCGGGTTACCCGTTGTCAAATGGCCCTCTTTTCCGTCAAAGCTTTTCTCGAACATATCAAAGGAAATGGCTAACCATTCCGAACGCCTTTTTTGTAGTTCCTCGCATATTTCAAACTAGGGAAATTTGTGATATCCATACTAAGGCAGGCTTACATTCTAGCAAGTTCATGATGTGGTGTTTGTTAATTTTCAAGGCTAATTTTCCATTTCAGAAACTGCAAGTAACCACGTTGAGCTGCGTCAGCTGTTCGAGTTCGTTGCTTCTTTATTCTAAATATGCTCCTACCGAACTCCCGCGGTGCCTCCATAGCCCCGGGCATTATAACTTCGTCCCTCGTCGTCCTCGTCGTTATTTAATTGTAATCCTCTCGTCGCCGTATCTGTCCATTATAACTTATAACGATCGTCCAAATATGCCCTTATTTGTCACGCACACTGCCAAACTAGTGCAGGATATCGGAGAGCCATCAGTCCTATGTTTGAGGTTGCGCAACGAAGCGCATAACGTCGCTCCTTCATCTGTGTCTGTTCGCGGTCCTTGTCTCTCCTCTTCACAAGTTAGCCGACTGACAGCATCTATAACGATCAACTTTGATCAACGAACGCGTACCTGTCCTGCCGCGCACTGCTCGGAAGCTCGCGCCGATGTCAGCCGCGCAGCTCGCTGAGGGCTGACGCATGCCGCTTTGTACCCCCGGCAGTGTGTGCCGATGTCGGCTGCGCAGCTCGCTGGGGGCTGAGCCTACCGCTCTATACCCCCGGCCGCTCTGTACCCCCGGCAGGGTGTGCCGATGTCGGCTGCGCAGCTCGCTGGGGGCTGAGCCTGCCGCTCTGTACACCCGGCAGTGCCAGCCGGCTGCGCGGCTCGCTGGGGGCTGAGTCTGTCGCCCTGTACACCCGGCAATGCCTGCTGGCTGCGCAGCTCGCTGGAGGCTGACGCCTGCCGCTCTGTGCCGCCAGTTGACTGCTGGGACGGTCGAGACGAGGAGCCACTGGTCTACCACGGCAACACGCTGACGTCTCGCACGCCGCTGCAGGACGTGCTCCGCACCGTCAGTGACTATGCCTTCGAGGTGTCTGAGTAAGTAGCGCCGCACGCTCCCGGTGTCCCGGTGGCAGCCAGGCGGGATACTGGCTGGCTGGCGGTCATGCTGGTATGGGCAGCTGGTGACGATAGTACCTTAGGAGCAGTCGCCACCATCTGCCCATAACAGCGAGTCGGTCACGCTGTTGTGGGCAGCTGGTGGCGATGGTGGCCTCGGAACATTGGCTGTCGGTCACTTCGCTATGGGCGGCTGTTGACGATGGTGCCCTAGGTGCAGTCAGTTGCTTTGACGGTGCTATCAATCAGTGGAGGGATATTATAATGTAAATAGGGGTACACTTTTTTCACTGAAATCAGTGCGATAGGGAGGTAGCAATCAGAAGATCCCAGTTGGTGCCTTAGTCAGCGATCCCATTAAACACTGATGCGGGTATGATTCACAAGACTACCTGAGCGTTACGATTGAACAGCCTCCTCGGACTGAATTCCGGGAGAGATCGCTTGATGTGCAGTGTACGCCATTCTCAAAAGCCTGTTGTTGGCTGTTTGCCTGTGCGTTGCGTGGAGGCAGCTCTAATAAGAGCAGCGCCCGCATGCCGCGAGCAGCTGAAATAAGCGCGGGGTGACGACAAACGCCACGGCTTTAAACCTGCCCACAGCACTGAAGGGGGATTATGGTCGACGCGCGTGTCGACCCCGCCGCGTGTATTACATCCCATGCCATGAGGGGACTCACGGGTCGAGTCAACACTTCGGTACCCGTGTGCTATGGGTCTTAGGTTGGGTTGCAATGGGTAACAGCTTTGGAAAATTATATGCACAACTACGGATATGGGTGAGACATTTTTAGAGCACTCAGTAGATGCTTCAAGAAATATAATACAATGGACTGTTTGCGTCTCTTTAAGTCGCGATTATCTCCAATCACACTTTGTTTGCAATTATCGGCGCAAACGTCAATTATGGTTACACTTCCCTGGACGTTTTCCTAGTTAACAATTATATTTCTAAAAGCGCGGGTGGCCGGGTACGACTGATCCGAAATGGGTAGCGGATGGGTATGGGAACAGACCCTTGGTTTGCGGGCGAATGGGCAAAGGGCTTCGTATCCGGAAACACCTGTACCTATGCGGTACAGGTGAAGATAACAGGTCAAGGACCATCAACAGTTTATCCCTGGATGCTTCGATTAAGTGCTGAAAACCTGTATATACTTTACATGATATACTGTATGTTTAAAATATATGTATCGAAAGCTTTGATAGGCATCCTCCAGGGATGGCCGAATGCACAGTCAGCAGCGTCGGAGACATTCCGCGACAGCAAATAGCTCCGTTAGAGCTCCATAGAAGGCTGACCACACACCCGTGAATCAGATGAGGATGAGTCAATTCACTGATAGATTGCATTGATCACTTAGGCAGAACACAGCGAGTCAGTAAAAGCATTGATCTGGAGTGCGCCGCGGTCTTGTCCGCTCCAATTCAATTACGGAAGTATTCTCGTGGCCTTATCACCGCGCTTGCATCAAGTGCCATTTGTTTTGGCATCAATGAGCTGAAATGTCTATGGGGTGAATTTGAAGACGATGCATCGTTCAGACTGGTCGATCTAAATGCGGCTTATTTAGCATCCATGACAGTAAGCTGGGCTTTAGACTTAAGGTCATGTGGTCGAAGCAGATATTTGGAAAGCTTCAATTTGATACACTGCCCCATCGCTCAAGCCCGCAGTGGAATATAATATTTTGGCTACGGTGTTACAGCTTCACATAGGGTGGCAAAAGTGTTTTCGGCTACTATGTTGTACCATCATACATTATGTTTCTCCGCTCTCTCTCTCTCTCTCTCTC